TTAAAATCCAGGACCTAGCCATTCATAGTCAGGCTCTGACATATTTATTCTTCCTTGAGTTGGTTAAAATTTATTGATCATCCATCTATGTTGAAACTACACACGTTTGCCAAGCACATACAATACAAAACTCACTTACTGAGCACTTTTTATTTCTAGGAGCTTCTCTAAGTGCATTTTATAAACTTACTCCTTACATTCTCAAAGCATCTCTCTGAAGTGCATGTAACTAGCAGTCCCCTTGCATAGATGAAAAAGTAAGGCACAGAGAGGTCAAGTAACTGACCAAGGTTACCCAGTCTGAACAAAGTAGAGCCAAGGTCTCCACCACTCCTTCTGTAATATAGACTTCATACCTTCATACCTGTCATGGGTCTCTTCCTTCCCTTCTTTGCCCACTCAATTCTGGCTTGCCTAAAACAGCTCTTCGTTTTCTGCCTATGCAACTGTTTCTCACTTGTCGATGTCCAAGACAGATCCTCTATCAGAGCAGAAGCCACTCTGACACTCCTGCCTGCTATGATCCTCCTTCTAGGAAGTCAGAGAAGTTGATTTTTGTACCTCAGTTAACATTCAATCACATGCTATTGCATGAAAAAAATTTGCTTTGTTATTCAAATTCCTGGGATATTTACATGCACTATTTCTTCAAACAGATGGTAAATTCACAAAAGCCCAAACAATTGTATATTTCTGCATACCATTCATATATTTAACCCACAGTTGTGTATATAATAGGTGTTCACTAAATGGTTACTGAATAACTTGAGGCCCAGCCTCCATTAACAGCTATTCTTATATTAATGATTATGACTGTGATTTTTTTTTTTTTGGTGAGGCCTTCTTTGCATAGCATGTCTTTTCTCCTTTTCTTCCCAGAATTAACTTTCACTTATCTTCTCGGGCTTAGCTCAGGCGTCACATACCCAAGAAGCCTTCATGGCATCCACCTCCAGGTTGGCTCAGGTGTCTCTCCTCTGCATTATCTCAACCCTTTGTCTTTCTATGTCACAAGACATTGAAGGGATATGCATGATTCTGTATCTGTGTTTACGTTGCTGGATTGCAAATCCCTTGGGGACAAGGACTGTGTCCTTTTCAGCATTATGTTCTCAACACTGTGAACAATGCTAGTATGTGGAAATAATCAATAGATCATGATGAATGAATGAATGGACGGTTGAATGAACGAAGGAGTGAGTGAGCAAATGAACAAAAACAAACAAAGCAATCCTAGTACATTTCTAACAGTCTACACAATAAAAAGAGGTAAGATGCGGAAGGTATCCATGGGAAAATATAAAAAACACAAGAAAGCCATTCTCAGTTGATCAGAATTTCTTCATGAACATGGATTAGCTAAAACCACAGGACAGCTTTATCAATTCAATTCAATTTTAAATACTGACAGTGTGTTAGAAGATGCTACCTAGAAAATGATACTTCTAATCCCCTAGCATCAAAGACTCTAGGCTGCTTTAGTTCTGATAGTTGGTCAAACCCTCAGCTCTATGCCATGAATGGTTGGCCTTTGCAACTTACCCAAGAGAAATTGTCCATGTTCGTGTTACACTCACAGGTGGGATTAAAAGGACATAAAGCATTTCACCAACTTCTATTTCATGATTTGGATACTTTCCAATTGTTAGAGGAGGGTGACAATTCTAGATGATTCTTCCAAGGATGAGGTGTGATTGTCTCATTTAATATACTTACTTTACTGACAGCTCTGGCCCAAACCACCTTCTCTTCTACCTGGGGACTGTCCATTGTTCTCTAGTGTATGATTAGCAGATTAGCTATCATGTAAGAAGGCAGGAAAATGAACTCCCAGTAAGCCCTTCCAATGCAAAAGTAATTCATTACCCAGCCTGATTTCCACTTAAAATGTACTTTAAGCACACTTCCAACTACAAACCCTAAATCACCCTGTGTTCACAAAGTCCATCATTTTTTATTTTATGGCAGGGCGTTGGTGTGACATAATCCCTTGCTGAGCATCTTGGAGTGCTTTACAGATCAATAAATTACTTACCTGCGCAGTTGAAGCAATGGCTGCAAGGCCAACACAGTCATTCTACTGGCAGCCTATCCTCCAAGAAGCAGGCAGCTCCACACGGGTGCCAGGAATGGGCAGGAGCAGGGCAGGGAAATGTGTAGACTGAGCAGGCACCGGGTCAAGAAGCGAATGCTGCAGTTACAACTCTGAATAAAATCCATCCAGTTTAAATGATTTTATTTTATTTTTTTTCATTTTATTTTATTTTTTTTTTTAAGGAACATGTTTTTAATTCAAGATCTTAAGCACAGATTTATTTTTTTTTTATTTATTTACTTTTTAAATACATTTGTCTCTGCCTCCCCCCCACCTCTTTCCCTTGCCCCCTCTCTCCTTCCCTCCCACAGCTCTTCCCCTTTGGTTTTGTCCAGGAGTCCTTGCTATATGTTCCTAGACAAATACCATATGATCTCACCTATAAATTATTTTAGAACTAAGAAAGTTTAGAAATTTAGATCCTACAGACAGACAGCAAATCAGATGTTCCATCATTAACTCATCAATTATTTTTCTGCCCCAGAAGAGTCAATCTAGCTTTTCAAATGATGTGGACTTTTCTTGCAATATTATGACTTAGAAGTCCTGGATCACAGAGCTGAAGGCCCCTCCTCCACCCTCACCACACTGATGCTCCATTGTTCATGTCCCACCAAATACCTGTGATGGTGCAAGTGTGTGTGCAATTCTACATGCACACACTGCCTCTCTATCTGAAGCTTGATGTAAGTTTAAGTCTAAAATGATTAATTGGTGCTTACTTTATGAAAGACACCTTATTCAGGACAGCAGAAAATTTTTTAAAACATGAGTAAGGCTCTTGCTCGATACCTCATATTCAGATAATTCATAACATAAAAGAAAGATGAGATTAATGTAACCTAAGAGAATTAATTTTAAATGTTTTGAAGAAAGCTATGGGACCCCCAAGAAGTAAAGGTCGTGTCCTTTTGGAGATGACCTAGGAGACCTTATAGAAGGGGTGGTACTACAGCCAGGCCTTGAACAATTCCAGCGGGTACAGGTAGTTGGAGAGAAGAGCCTAGGTGATCCAAATCTGCATCAGTGGCATGAAGATAAGGAAACAATGTGGAAAACATGCTTATTAATGAGTGCTCCAGTTGTGTGCATGCAGAAGGGAATGGAAGAAAACTTTAGGGGAAGGAGGAAAAGGAACAAAGGCTAATGAAGAATATATCTGCATGATACTCCCTTTTTGTGAAGGAGGAAATCCAGTACAATTAGGAGTGATAGGTTAATCCTTCGGGTGGAGGAAAGATGAGCACTGACATTTCCAGCCAATCTGAGTTTCGTGTGAGGGTTGCAGTCTGGCCTTGGAACAGGGGATAAGGTTCAGGCTCAGCTCTCCAGCAGGCCAGATGGCATCCTGCACTGGGTGGGTCGTGTGCTCCGGAATCCCACACTGCAGTAGCTGAGATGAGTGCTTATTCAAGGAAAGACACTAACATGAAGAAACTTAAAGGAGCTGGATGGAGGGACCACTAAATTTAGGAAGAATTAAGGAGTCAAATCCACTGTCAGTCGAACTAAAATAGTGTGTGTTAATGATCCAATTCTGAGGTTGTTCCAAACATGTGGCAGGTTGGGAAGGTGGTTTCCTTGAACAACCATTATAATTCCATCCTATAAATATCTGTTGAGCTTTTACTATGGATATAAATATAAGTAAGTCATGGCTCAGGTCATCAAGAAGCTCACGGTCTAGTGGATGAGAGATGCTAAGCCAATAACCATAACATAGTGGGATAAGTGCCAAGGATTAGAGTTGGGGGAGTTACTTTATCAACCAATTGGCAAGCAAATGAATAGTCACACATGAACCAAATATCACATTCACTAGTTTGAAAGATGATACTGGAGAATTCGGCTTAAATGTGTAGTGACAATTAGCTCCTAATCCCGAACTCCCAGATGAGACAGGTGTACATAGACACTGCTGGCTGTGCTGTGGCTGATCCTGTGCCAGGGGACGTTGCCCTGTGACACATGAGGAGGAGACACACAGAAGAACATAGCTTCCTAAGGGAGGTCTGGCTCCCAAACTGAAAACTGAACATAGTGGGGTCCTGTCCCCAAATCTACCAATTAAAATGAACCCCTCCCATCTTTGCAGGGATCTATTCAGGGGACAGAGAGAGAAAGAGACCAAAGATGTCTGGCCAGCTGACTTTTTTTTTTTTTTTACTTACCATCAGGCCTGTCAAAATATGGATGAAAAGCAAAAGTCACTTAGAGTTGTGCATGAGGGCAGAGAGGAGTAGGGGTCAGAAAAGCTGCAACAAAGTGCCATTTGATTTGGATCTTAAAGTATGGCTGAGAGTTTCTAGGAAGAACATGAGGACAGTATAGATCCCAAATGCTTAATGACCAGGTCGGACACAATGCACTGGGGATGATAGAGCGATACTTTGAGGTGGAATCATTGGGAATATTAATGGAAACATAGGTTGATGCTTGATTCTGAACCTCATGCTATGCTCTAGCACCTGGATGTTATCAGGTAGGCAGTAAGGAACAACTGGAGGTATCTGGGGAGAGATGTGATATGATCAGAATTGCATTACATCAAGACGACCCTGAACGCACTGTGGAGAATGACTTGTGAATACGTGTCAGAGGGGGTTGGAGGTGAGATTGCAGACGGGAAGGGGGTGGGGGCGAGGAACATAGTTATTGCAATATTGCGTTGGAATCCGTTCCTGCCCAAACTTCCTGACTTTGGATTTAAATGGGAGGAAATAGAAACTAAACTCAAGGTAAGATGTTTCTTTTGTGTTTAAGATAATTCCTCTAATTTCTCTTCATTTATTTCTATAACCCCTGTATTTCAGTCCCTGGGCTCTTCTGCCAACTGTCATTATACGACAACAAAGAAGTGTTTCACAGGCTACTTATTTTCCTCCTACTGCTTTTGTCTTCACAGTATCTCCCAAAATTGTAGAGATTTCTTCAGATATCTCCATTAATGAAGGGAACAATATCAGCCTCACCTGCATAGCAACGGGTAGACCAGAGCCTACGGTTACCTGGAGACACATCTCTCCCAAAGGTAAGAGAGCGGCCTGGTATAATGAGTCATGAAAGGAACTGGGAGACTTGCTGGCCATGACTCGGAGGGGCTGTGATGCTGGTGGCTTTGTCCAAAGGGTCTTACATTTTTGGTGGCCTGATAACAATGCTCGTGGCTCTGCAGAGAAATTTGCTGTTCTCTGAAAGTCAGGCACGTCCTCTAAGATTTCAGCAGTCATACCTGAGGGTCTCTCTAGTTCCTGGGAACTGAATCTCAGTTGCTGGTGCATGAAATGGTGGTAAGTTGTTCTGGAAGAACTTCGCTGTCCATATTTGATGGTGGGACAATTAGCTTTGGTGGCATTCCTCAGCTGCTTGTTTTAAGAGCTAGAAAACACAAACACAAAATGATAAATGAGAACTTCCAAAACTGTGTTTCTTCAGCATTGCCAAATACCGGGTCTCTGTTGCATTAGTTGTTTTATAGTTTTGTTGTTGTTTGTCTATGATCAATCTTAGACAACTAAATTGCAAAATTTACTTTGCCTTAATGTTTAGATGCTGTACAGACCAGACTAAGTGTTGTTTTGTGCTTTCATGGATTGAACGTTAAACTTAGAATTTAAAATAGATGCCATTTATCATTAAGCTAACTTTTATTCCTGTTGCATTAAATTATTTTATTTTTTCTTCAGTACATAGTGCTTGCTATAATCTAGGCACACTTCTAAGCACTGAGAATATAGCAGTGAACCAAAGCATACAAGTTCCTGTTCTCATAAGCTCACATTCTCATGAGAAAAATGACCAAAACACTGAATATACAATATAACAGGTCGTGATAAGAATGAGAAAATAGAGCAGTATATACTGGCAGAAAGAAAAGAGATTTGGTCAGGGAAGGCCTTTGTAAAGGTGACATTTGAGCAGAGACATGAATAAAGATCCTCAACTTCATTGCTTATTGCATTGTGTAATGTATACATAGGGATGCATGCATGAAGATATGTGTGTTGCTGTGTAGCAAAGGTTTAAGTATTTTAAAGGAATTGTAGTGGTAGTTGTTTGCTAGGTATTGCAGGTTGGGTCCCCCAAAAGCTGACCCTATAGGTGATTGCATGCAAGAAGTTCGTCTGAGATGCTCTTGGAATCAACCCCTGTGGAAGGAAAGGAAGGAAGAAGGGTTGGGCATTTGGAGAAGCTGAGCTGCGATGCAGTCACATGGACTATCTCATCAGCTGACCCAGTGGGAATTCTGAAGCTAGGATGACCCTTCCAAAATGTTCCCTCTTTGAGGTGAGGGGACTGGCCTTCTATACCAGCCCAGCAGAAAGTCGCTGAATTTGGGCTGTCTGCAGAAAGGCGGTGACCTTGGGCCAGGCATCTCTCCTTGTGGGAGACAATCCCCACAAGGCTGCAGCTGAGCACTGCCCTCCAGCAGTACACTCACCCCTGGGGCAGACAGCCTCTATTCCTGAATGTGGCAGTGCATCACCTGGACATTTTGAAATACCAGTTCAGGCTCTGAATGGGCCCCAACTTCCAAATTCTTTCTTTTACACATTGACCATTTGCCCTGAGAGAGATCTCAGGGAAAGCGTGAGGTTTCCAGTGTTTGACCTGAAAGCCTGGGAGTGTCCCTATGCCTTCATTCCTGATGCTCCCACTCTGAGCAAAAGGATCAGAGAGCCAGTCATGTCTCTGCCAGTCTCTTGACTTGAAATGACCGTAGGTGTGGACTGGCCCAAAACCTGGGAGGAGGCTTCAGGTGTGCATGAGACCATTCATGATGGAGTGTGGTCCTGGGGCATGTCTGAAGGAGGGGCCATCCGAATGGACAGACTTTTTAAGACCACGGTGCACACCATCCATCACTGCTCACTGCTGAGCCCCAGTGCAGTTGGGTGCAAGGGCAGTCTGTACCTCTGGAATCTGCAGGACATTCATCATCCCAGGTCGACTTTCATTGCCTTATGTCAGGAGGCCCTGTGTCCCTCCCCCAGCCAGGTCTTCCTCTGTCTCCTGTTGGGGGCCTTTTCTCATTTCCTTCTCTGGCTCTTCAGCTCTTTGTCCTCTTCTGAGTGTTTTCCTTTTTTCCCCTTCTCCTCCATGCATCTTCTCCTTTTGTCTTGGACTGTTATGCTTTTTCCTTTTGTTTTTTGCTTTCCTTTTCTTCCACAGCCTCCTAAATGTTTCTACTTTAATTTCATTTTTTTCCACATTTTTTCCTCCCCCCGCCACCCCACCCCTGTCTTCACACAATCGCTATTGGCTTCCCTCTGACATCAGAGCCTTCTCCCATTCATCTCAAGTTCACTCTGTTGTGCCTTAGATGCCTCTTCTCATTTTTGGAGACATCAAGCAGATTCGTTTCCCCAGGGGACTTGACCTGAACCTGGGCCAGATGCTTCCACTTTACTGGGTTTTTCTTTTTAGCTGCTATGGAAACAGAAGATAGATTAAGGGGAGAGGAGCAGAATAATCAGAATCTACCTGTGGATCAGTGTAATTGAGATGAGCAATTTTTCCAGATCCCTGGTCCAGGTTTGCTCTCCTATATTCAAATTGATAAGACATGCCAAGCAGTAACTAATCACCTCAGGACTCACCGGGGGGCTGTTTTCCCAGTGACTGATTATTGGAAGATCAGAGATGTCATTGGGCTGCTGCCAAATCTGAGCTGAAGCTGGAGACTCTTTGCAGTCAGGCCTTCATCTTTCTCCACTAAGTATTTCCAAAGGATGTTTATTTTAAACAAGTTAGGACAGGTTTGAGGTTCCTTGGAGAACAAGATATGCTACACCTTAGCAAGGGCTCCAAAGGAAAGGAGGTGCTGCCAGCTGTTGTCCTGTCCTGTGTGGGTAGATCGTGTCTCAATCAAGACCATTCTGAAGCACACACCCATGAAATCCCTGAATGGATAGCGGATCAAGCCCAAGCACTTTTGGCGACTCTGATGGCTTCATTGCATTTTCCCTCTCCAGGCTGATCTGTATGTTTCATACATTGCTGAACAATCCTAGTTTTCTCCATCCTAACTCATATGTTGCAACTTGCAATTAGTTAAAGCACTTTAGAGTGTGCATTTCCAATCCTAACCATCTTTTATGTGGAAGGAGGAATGCAGAAATGTTAATCACCATTTTATTAGTAGTGGCTCATGCATTTCAATACACAGGAGCTAGAAGGGACTGTCTGGTAGGAAGAGGCTCGCCTTAAAGTTGTCTGCCTAGCACTTTACATCAGATGGAACAAACATCAGTTGTCCATATTCAAGATGAAGAGGGAGGTGAGGCCTCCCAAGCTGCCTGTCTGCATTGCCATTGATCCTGAGAAGTGGTTTCCCACCTATTATTACTGGTAGCATGATTGCTTTTATTTCCCCCACATGAAGTCACTTTTCCCAGGAGTTCAAGGAGGAAGTTCATTTGTGAAGACCCTGCCCTCATCTGCACTCCTGGTTTGGAGCATACGGGTTCCTCTCGCACGTGTGCAGGCCTTGGTCTTCTAAAGGAAAGGCCCCTGTCTCACTGTCTTTCATGCCGTCTCCATCTTCAGGAATGATTTTTAGCCCTTCATCAAATTACGTGGAAGGGCCAGCATACATCTCCAGGCACCGAAGTGCCATCAGTGTGCCCTCACTCTGCTTTAGACCCATCCCCCATCCCTGACTGCATTCTGGATTTTGTGCCTTGTATTTTGTCCTCTTCCAGGGATACAAGAATTTATTTTAGTGCAGCCCTTAAGCTCTAGTGTTTCTATCTCCAAAAGAGTACCTTGAGTGTTCTTGATGCCTCTGGGTCTTCCCTAAGTAAACAGAAATACCATCTCTTAAAAAGTATCCAAAGGATGGTTTTTAGGACCTCACTCTTCACAGAAAAGTATTCTCAACATCCAGTTTTTCTGTTTCCAGTTTCTGTTGGATTGTAAGTTCTTTGAAGAGAAGGCTGAGATTCCTATGTTGCCACATCCCTGGGAGCCAAACATAAGACTCAGATGAAGGCGTGAATCCAATCATTGATGTGTGGGTTCTACGGCACCGTGGAATCAGGGGTCGCTGAGGGTCCTGATACAGCTCCCCTCTTGGCAGTACCTCTCTCCCTCTTTCTCTCATCAAATGAAACACAGAAAATAAAAAGCCCACGAAGGCTACTGAAAGAACACCTTGTGCCTAGACGTTGGTTGGGGCTCAGTCAGGTCCGGTGAGCTGTTTACAGAGTTGCTCTGATCTCTAATTCATGAGTTTTTTGAGACCAGGGCCTGCGTTCATTCATCTTTGATTCTTCACCTCCTAGCGCAATGCTCAGCACCCAGAAAACATTCAAGAAATATTTGTCGATTCAGTGAGCAAGCACTTAATTTGTGCCAGTGCCCCAAAGGGACATGCCTATTCACCCAGTTCAAAGACTTCATCCTGATTCATGAGGAATTCTCCTCTACTTTGATGTTGCCATTGAGATCTTGTGTGTTTCTTGCTTAAACTCTGTTGGTGAGTCTTCGGGACAATGTCTCTGGTCCTCACAGGATCTTCAGGCCTTCCCTGAACTTCCCCGAGTGGGAAACCTGCCATGGCAGGGCTTGCCTTCTCCCTCAAGGAGAGACTCCTTTCCGAGTTCTCTTTTGCAGAAGCTGAGCAGGCTCACAGGTGGCCTTGAAGGCGGGTCTTCGGTGAGCGCACTCCTGCCCTCCTGGCTGCCTCACTCCTGATCTGTGTGTTTCTCTGGATGTTCTCTATCAGGTCTTTCTGAGGCACCTGAGCCTTTTGGTGTCTTACTGTTCCCAGCCCTACCTGTGCCTAAACTCTCTACTGCTCCCAAGAGTTTTGTAAAATAGCCCTGGATGTCGCCAGGGAGAGTTTGTTCAACTGCATACATGAAGTTTCTGGTGCCCATGGGTTAAAAACAAAAATACAAAGAAAGAAGTCAGTACAAAAAAAGAGAAACAGCATTTTAAAAATTCTTCCCACTCCCCACAGTGCGTGAATTGAGGTGGAACAGAGATGGATGGATTGGTTTTCCCAGGACCATGCAAAGACCCTGG